TTAGGGATTCTGCCGCCCCAGCGTTGTCTGGCTGCCTTCATTCATCTTATCCACATGGGTAACACGAGAGGCTTTGTCAGAGGCTTTGCCAAAATCCACATTCTTTCAGCCTACCATCTTCTTCGATGCACTAGGTATTTTAAGTTCGGCTGGCAGATAACCTGTTGCGCAAACTCCCACTGGCTCCTGGGGTCTTGGGCTTCCTTTACGGGATGCCACACATGAGTGAAGGTGTCCCGTTGCTCTCCAGCTGGCTCCCACTCCCAGCCCCCAGCCCGTAGGGTCCTAGTGACTCGCTTTCTTTTCCTCCGAGTTTGTTTTCTAGACGAACGTGAGGAGCATCTGCCCGAGCCTGTCTTTCCATCGTAAACTCTAAAATAAAGTGGTGATCCGTCCCCAAGTCCCCATCTCTCTCCGTCACCAGACAGCTCCTTCTGAGGTCGGGCTAGGTCCTGGCGGTTCTCCTCACCACCCCCGCACCCTGCTGTTAAGCCCTTTGGGAAGGCTTCGGACATGGGGCCGAGCAAGCCCCCCTCGGTCCTGGAGGGCCCCCTCACTGCTGCCTCTCACTTAGCCTGGGGAACGCCTCCGTCCTTCCTCCTTCCCAGACAGGCCGCCTTTGGCATGGTCCCACAGCGGTCTCGCTTCCGGCCTTCTCTCTGCCGCCCCCTGCACGAGTGTTTCTGTGGAAAAAACTGCCTTTGAGCTACCTGAGGACCGGAAGGTGTGCCTTAGCCACACACCTTGATCACTCACATGGGGGATCAGCCCTCATTCAGCCCCAGCAGCTCCCTTCCGTCCTCCAGGCCTGGGAGCTGGGACTGCTCTGGAAGGGAGGGCAGGGGGAGGCCCCCTGGGAGGGGGGGCTGTGCAATCCACTATGCGCTGCCGTCGGTCTCTCGCAGGAGCTAAGAGAGGGCCCTGTGAAGATGCTGCGTGTGTGTGTTGTGTGTTGTGTGTATATGTACGCACACACGTGTATGTGTCGATTTATAGTATAAAAATACATATTATATAAATATATAAAATATACACACAATACATTATACATTTATTTAAGTTTATTTTACATTACATATTATATATACACATACATGCATAAAAATGCTATTACTGCTAATATGCAAGTTTTACAACTTACTTTTTTTCTGAGCTTTTTTCTTTTTCTCCAAGTTCCATAGCCACTCTGGGCGAATCTGTTCTTGCCCATCTGCTGTCACCATGAGCGAGGCAGGAGCACGGCGTCCAGGGGGCCGGGCCACCGCGGTCCCCAAAGGCAGCCTTATGTTTCTAGGCCTTTCTTTCCAAGGGCGCGACTGTCGGTTGGAGGGAGAGAGACAGGCACTGTGGGGGGCGCTAGGTGGGAGGGGGTGTTCCTCGGAGGGAACTGCGTTGGACCTCGGTTGAGGTGGGGGCCGCTCAGCCTCGTGAAGGTTCCAGACGCGTCCGAATGCTCACTCCGACATGCGAACTCCACCTCAGTGAATTCTCAAAATTAGAGAACAAAACGCTGCTCCCGGCCTGGGTCTTTGCAGCTCCTGGAGCCGACTCCCGTGGGCTCTCTTCAGGAAACCCGTGGCTTTGTCCCCGCCAACCAAAACAGTGTGTGGCAGGCGACAGTTCACCGAACTTTCAAGGGGTTGGGCGTGTGCCCCAGGCCGGAGCCCCCCTCCCACGGGGGTGTTCCTGTGTGGAGCAGCCGCCCTGTGGGCCCCTCTGGGCCCCGCCCTGTGCCGGGGACACGGGCACAGAGGTGACTCGCTCATGGACTGCCAAGGGAGAAGGCCTGGTCCTGGCCATGTCCCCAGGGAGGACGTTGAGGGCTTCGGCGGTGGCTTCCTGTGGGAGACACACGGGCAGACCCCAGAAGGATTGCCAGGGTGTAAACGCAGGAGATGAAGGGACAGGGCGTTCTGTGACGAGGACGGTGAGGGGCGCGTATGCCGGGGAGGACCCCACTTTCTCTTCCCTTTTGGGGTGCAGGTGTGACTGCCGACCTTGGGCTGGGAAGGGGCCCCTCCTCCTCTCCCACCCCAGCGCCCCCCAGGTCTCGTTCCCTGGGGGGCGACCAGGCCTCGGCAGGTCACCTGATCGTCTTTTCACAACATAAGTCCTCTAAGCATGCAGCTGTCGCCGGGGAGAGGGCGTCCATCACCATATCTGAATGGACACCCCCAACACGAATGAGGTCTAAAACGCCAACGGCGGGGCACCTAGTGAGCGACGGATCAGGGGTTCTCCGCTCGGCGATGCGTCTGAAGCTGTGCTTTGAGAACTCCCCACCAGGCGTGGGGGCAGCCTGAGCACAGAGCATGGGGTGCACGAGGGAGCCCAGCCCCGGACCCGCTGTCGGGGTCTGGGGGGCAGAGGGGACATGCTGTCATGTGGGGGACAGAGGGGAGCCACTGTTGGGGTCTGGGGGCAGAAGGAACTTGCTGTCAGGGTCTAGGGGACGGAGGGGACATGCTGTCAGGGTCTGGGGGGCAGAGGGGACGTGCTTTTGGGATCTGGGGGATGGAGGGGACATGCTGTCAGGGTCTGGGGGGCAGAGGGGACGTGCTGTCATGTGGGGGACAGAGGGGAGCCACTGTTGGGGTCTGGGGGCAGAAGGAACTTGCTGTCAGGGTCTGGGGGACGGAGGGGACACACTGTCCAGGTCTGGGGGCAGAGGGGACGTGCTGTCGGGATCTGGGGGGCGGAGGGAAACGGGGTGCACATACGTGCACAGAGAGCGGAGCGACAGTGGAGGGCGGTGGGGGAGGTGAGATTTGGGGATTTGAAGGAGGTGACGTCGGTGGGGCTTCTAGCGCTCGGCTCGCATGGCAGGGGGAGGGTGGTGCGTTAAGGGCAGAGGGAAGACCAAGGAAAGGGAGTTCAGGGAGGGGGCAGTAGTGGCTCTGCTCTGGACCATTCGGGCATGCACACACTTCCTGGCCCGTGGGTCTGAGTAGGAAGGGCTTAGAGGAGGCCCCCGGGGAACTTGGGGCGGTGGTGATGGTCCTGGTGTGGAAGCAGCAGCGGACGCGTTCTCAGAAATTTTATTTATACCGAATGGGCTTTGGAGTCGCTGCTTGCCGCCTGCGTGACCTCGGCCGGCCGGCCCGACCTCTCTGAGCTCTGACCCTCAATCTGTGAAATGACCCGAAATGCCAGGGCCATGTGCCCACCTTTCTCCGTGGCATTAGGGAGGGGCATGACGTCAGAGTGCCGTGTGGGGTCAGTCTGAGTTGGGCAGACAGTGGCGGGAGCTGGACCTTGGGTGGGACCTGATCCTGCCCCTCCGTCGAAGGCCCGGTGGCCTTTTGGGGGTCTTCTGTTCCCCGCTTCTTCGGCTGTACGTGAGCATGCATGCACAGGTGCTCAGATTTCACTGGTACGTTTGAACGTGTAACATACTGTGTAAGATTGTTTTGGGCGTTTTCCAAACCTCCCTCGTTTCTGGGGAAGTGTTAACACTGTTCGCAGCCCCTTGCCGGTCCCCTTCCAGGAAGTCACGGCAGGTTGCAGGGCCCCCCTGTGATGGGAGACCGCAGGTGTCTGTCCAGGCCGGTGGCCAGACTTTGGACAGCAGCCCTCCGAAGAAAGGAGAAGGTGTCTGCTGCACAGCCGGGGCCAGCTGTGCTGTTTCTTAGCAGAGAAAGTTTCCTTTTTTCCTTCCCTGAAATAAATTATGAATGCAGTTTAAAATGAACCATTTGGCTCATCTTGCTGATCAGAGAATTTCCCCCCCAGATTTCTTTCTCTTATTTCCTTTTCTGATGTTTATTTTCTTTTTTTCTGCTCCTGCAACTCTTCTTTCTTAGCACCGAAAAAATTGTGTACCAGAGAAGTCTCCGTTTCAGATATTGAGAGAAAAGCAAAGACCGTATTTCCCAGAGCACTGACTCTGTTCCGTCCGTCCGTTTCTTTCTAAAACCCTCAGGGTGAGGCCCCCACGCTGATGGCCAGGTGGCAAGTCCCGGCCCAAATGGCTAGGACCGGCAAAGCCAGGCCTGGCCTCCGCTCCTTCCCTGCTGCTCCCATGGGACAGAGAAGCCAGGCCCCAGAGAAGCCTCCGCCCGCCCTCGGGCTGCTGAGCCTTCACGCTGGGGGTGCCCCCAGAGGCCACGCGTTCCCAGCGCCAAGGCCTCCAGCAGCGACGTGGTGTCAGAGTCCTCTGACGTGATTCAGAAAGCACACTTGTCTCAGGTCCTGGGGTTCACCATGTGCCTGTGATGGTGATGACCTGGGTACAGGGCTGTGAAGAAGGAAGTGCACCCCCCACACACACCCTGTCCCCGCATTTGCGGTGCTAGAGACCCACTCACACCCTTTCTCTCGTGTCCTGTTGAAACCAAGCAGAACGGCGAGCTGCGAGTCAGCCCGGGAAGCCGGGGGCCGGACCCAGTCCCCCAGGGAGGGCTGCGCAGCCCCCACCCGCTGAGCACCTGCTCTGTGGCGGGCACTGGGACACGCACCCCTGTAATGCAGGCCGTGCCAGCCTCTTAAACAGAACTTAACCTCCTCCAAAGCCTCGGCCAGGATTCAAACTCACTCAAACTCCAGAATCACTCTTCCCTCCACCCTGGGCCCTTTCCAGGAGCCCGACAGCCTGGGCTGCGATGTTCTCGGCCGAGAGCACGTCTGCCCACCTCACAGAACACAGCGTTGCCCCCCTCAGCCCTCATGCACCTCTGTCCCGCCGTCGGCCCCTCGGTGGCTCCTGCCACTTACGGGTGGGAGGCCAGGCTCCGAGGGCGGGCGCTGGGCCCCCCTCTGCTCCCACAGCTTTTGTCTGCACAACTGCCTGCTCTTTGAGACAGGCGTGCAGCGTCTGCCTCCCTCACGGTGTGTGTCCCGGGAGCGGGGATGGTACCTGTGCACATGTTCCCCCGGGCGCCACTGGTGTGCAGGTCGGCTGGCTGCAGCCACCGACTCGCTCGGACTGTGCATGTCGACGTCTGAATTGCTCAACGTCGATGGTGTCTGCAATGCCATTTTCTCTCTTCTTTCTTTTGCAGCCATGGATGGTGTGCCTTTTATGATTTCAGAGAAGTTTTCTTGTGTTCCAGAAAGTGTAAGTTTCACGCTTGAGTGCCCTTCCCTTCCACCACCCCCAGCCCGAGCTCCCTCTGCCCAGCACACAGGGCCCTCACGCTCCTGCCTCCCCTGGAATCATTTCTGCCCCGTGTCCTCCCCCGCCGGACGCTCGGCCCTGCAGCCCCACGACAGGGCTGCGTGGGAGCTGCGGTGAGTCACGTTCCTCTCAGCTCGTGCCGCCCATGATAGGTACGTAAGGATGAGAGAAAAGAGCAGACGCGGGGAGGAGACAGACGAGCAGAGCAGCCGAGCTTTGTTGTTGCGCCCGTGGCCATTCCCTGGCCTGAACGCCACTGGTTGTGAATGTTCTTGCCTTCCAAGGTCAGCTTAATCTTTTTTTTTTTTTTAATTTAACAATGACAATGTCCTACAGAGAGGACTCTGCTCCCCTTGGAAAGGCCGTTCTGTTGCCCCATTTCCCCGTTTTAATGCCTCGTTCCCTGTTAACCGCGTCCTCTGCTCTGACTGGGAGGTCCCTCGGAGGCAGGGCTGACCCCGCCAGTGCAGAGTGGGTCTCCCTCCTGCTCTCCGCAGCCCGGCATTGACCCTGTGATGCCTGCGAGCAAACCCAGGCCCAAGCTGGGCTCCTAACCAGTCTCTAGTGACAGAGGGACCAATGGCTGGGCCTGAAGGCCAGAGCCCAGTGTAAGAGCCGCCTACCACGCAGGGCACTGGGCGGCTCGGGCTGGGGCTGCAGGCCCTCCTGCCTGACACTTGGGGGGGCCTCCCTCAGTTGGTGCCTGTCCCCCAGGAGGGCACTGGGCCTCCCTCAGCTGTGCAGGCCTGTCCCACGCTGACTCAATAGCCTTGTTTCTGGGTTTTTGGGGGTTTTTTTCATCCTTTCTGCAGAAGTTTGCCTTAAGTAGCTAGCTAATAAACGTGAAGGCCCTGGTTTGGGCACCAGCTAAAGAATCCTTCAGTGTTTTTCTTGGATCCAGCTTAAAACCACCCGGCTTGTGATTCGACCTGCTCTGTAGTCTCCATTTTCATGAAATATAATAGGCCTCCTCTGAACCCTTCTGGTAAGCAGCTTAATCTTGAAAAATGCTCCTGACGTGACACGCGGAGCGTGAGTAACTTCAGCAGACTCCACTCGGCCACGTTGCCATGGAGACGCTGGCGCCTCTCCTGCCAGCTCCCTGGAGCAGCACCGGCTCCAGTCAGGAAAGTTTCGTGGGGCAGCTCAAGCCGAATGGCACAGCAGCTGGGCCCCCGCCGGATGCTGGGCGGCCCGGGCGGGCGGCCCGTCTCGGGCTGCAGCGTGAGAGAGCCAGCCTGTTTTGTGGTTCCTGGCAGCGGAGCCCCGGGAGCTGAGCGCCTAGTTTGGTGGCCCCGTCCCAAGATCACCCTTACTACTGTGCTGCTCCCAGGGCGCTGCCGACTCAGCAAGTGCTCCAGGCCAGCAGATGCGGGCCAAGCCCCGTGCCGGGCACCTCCCTGCGCTTAACCCTCCCAGCAGCCTGGCTAGGAGGCCCGCCCGCCCACACTGCCTTTTAACAGGAGAGGAGGTGATGCGATTTAGCCTGCAGCTGCATCACAAGGAGGCACTGGGCCCCCGTTTTGAATCCAAGTCTTGGGGACGTCGGAGCCGGCTTCACCGGCTTCACAGGACACCCCTGCTGGGCTGGCTCAGGCTCTGCCCGGCCTCTGGGCCGCAGCTCAGAGGCACAAAGGCCCCGGGGTTCTGTTGGGGACTCTCCGCGGGTTTCACCTGTTCATCCCCGGCCGCCAGCTGCTGGCTGGGCTGCAGGAGGCTGGGCCTGTGCCCTCGTGGGAAGGCAGACCACCCGTGTGCCTGCAGGGGACTCAGGCCAGGGGCCTCAGACAGGGTCCCCTCTGGCCTCTCCCCATGCTTTTAGCACAGCCGACTCCAGTTGCGCGTTCATTTGAGTTTTTGCTCTGTCCGTTGAAAAGCCAACATCTTTAAAAAAGAAAAAAAGGTCTCCATCTTCACAAAGTTACAGAAATACCCATTAAAATGCAGTGCTGTTTTTCACCACCGCTGTTTTCTCAAATGGCAGTTGGCGGGAAGTTATGTCATGCACCCTGCACTCGCAAAGACCTGGAATTCCCCCCCGGCTCCTTCCCTGGATACCTCAGAACCCTGGACACGAGATTCCCTGCCCGCCAGCTGGAATTCCTTAGACCCACTCCGCCATACAGATGCAGCAGTCGGGGCGTCCTCTGCTGAAGCCCTGGCCAGCTCTGGCCCCACGGCTGCAGAGAGAGAGCAGACCGGTTTCTCACATGGCCAGGGGACAGAGCGAGGTGGCAGTCACTGTCATTCAGGCGGGCGGTGACTCTCCTGGGCGCCGTTAGACAGATGACTAAACAGGGGTCTCTGTCAGAAGGGACCAACCAGGTGATGGCCACGTTTTCTGGAAGGATGCTCCTGGTACTGGTCCATTTCCCCTCACTAATCACAAGGGGGTCACACGGGTGGGTTTCTGCGGAGAAAACACTAGATCACACAGGCAGTGTGAGTCCCGCAGTTGTGCGTGAACGCCGGCGTGAAGAAGCATTTTCCAGCCCTCGAAAAGAATGACTTGTCTGTATTTTCAGATGCAGCCCTTCGATCTCTTGGGAATCACCATCAAATCTCTGGCAGAAATTGAGAAAGAGGTAAGCAGGCCACCGGGGAAGAGGGGGCCGGGGGCCCGGGCCCTCCCTCACTCGCCCTGTGGCCTTTCAGCCCCGTTGGGGTCGTGTCAGGAACGGGAGGGTCCTAGGGCGGGGGCACTTTTCTGAGAAAAGCACTTCATTTTTACTCAAACTTATTGCTTAGAAGAAGAGACTCCCTTCTAATGTGTTTATTGCTTCCAGTCTAAGGTGACCGGCATCTCCTCGTCTTCTCTCTAAGGCGGGAGGTTCTAAGTGACAGACAGAACAGTCAATGCCGCCTCAGTTTTCAGAACTGTCTCAGCTTAACGAAGGTGGAGGTTGGGGGGGTCGTCTTGGCCTCGACTTTTTTGCCTTTTTCCGTTTTATTGTTGGCCACCGGCAGGGGTTTGGGACGCGTCCGTGCCCTCGCCGAGGAAGGGTCGGGACACACGCCACTGTGCCCGGTGAGCCAGACCCCGTTTGGCAGCCTGGTCTGACATAGTTCGGACGTCTTCCTAATAAAAAGGGAAGAAATCCAAGGCCGGAGGCCTCGTGACAGCTCTGAAGAAGGAGAGTCGAGAGGGAGTCAAGCCGGGGGGGGTCAGATGTGCCGTCACGGTCCCCGTTTTCATCAGACGACGTTACCGTGTGTCGCCTTTTACGTACCGGAGGTTGTTAAGCAGTCACGTGCCGGCAGCCGGTGCTCCTCCGAGACGGACATTTGTCTCAAAGATGGAAATGGTAGAACCATTTCAATATTCTCAGTTCCTCTGGGTTTTCTCGTGCGTTCCCAGCTAGCAGAAGCAGGTTGCATTATTGAAAGATGGCTGAAATCAAGGAAAATTGAATCAACGTAGTACAACAAATTTCTAAACCTGTCACAGCAAAAACAAGACAAAAAAAGTCCCCCTTTGTCTTTGATTTTCGGTAAATCATAAAAACCGACCTGATTGTCATCTAAAGATTTTTTTTTTTTTTTTTCGGCAGGGAGCGGGTTGGAGAACTTAGGAAAAAGAATGACTGGCTACCCCATTAGAGATCTATATGCACATAGAATTACCTGTCAGCCCTTCTCGAAAGCAAGGTCGCCGGGGTGGTCCCACCAGCCACTTGGTGGTCCCAAGTCCCACCAGCCACTTGCCCACGACCCGCCTTTGCGTGGGGTCCTGCCCCTGGCGGCCCTTGGCGCACGTGTGGGAAGGCCTCTGAGGGTGGCCTGCTCTGGCGGCAGGTGGTAGAGCAGAAGCCTGTGACCTTTTAGGATGGGCAAGGTGTCCACGGTGACTGGGGACACGTCACACCTCCTTTCCATTTCAATCTGGGATCGCAGTGGAACCTGTTTCGCAGGGTTTTCACGAATATTAAACGTGAAAAGTGCCGGCAGGCACGCTCGCGTCACCTCGGCCGGGCGTCGTCCAGGGCGTGTGCGTGTGCCGGATGGAGACAGCCATCTGAGTGTGGCGTCTGCCCCGCCGCCTCGCACCCTCCGAACGGCTCCCTGGGCCCTCAGCACAGCCCCGTCTGTTGAAGCACCTGCCGCGTGCTCGGCTTTGGGCTCCCGGCTTCGCCGGGAGCTTCGCCGGTCCTCACCCCGGGCTGACCAGGCGGCGGCGCCCCTCCCGTTTCGTGCGGCAGAAGCGGAGACTCTGTGAGGTGAAGTGCCTCGCCCAACCCAAGACTTAGCACGTCACACTCCAAATCCCCTCCATGGGGACTTACGGGCTCTGGCTCTGTGTCCCTGTAAGGGGCTGGTGGGGACAAGCGGGCGTGAGAGGCCTGTGGACACTGCTGGCCTTTGAGTCACGGGACGGGGTGACGTAGGAGAGGGCCCCAGTGCAGAGCCCGGTGCATGTGGCAGAAGCCACCGTAAACTTTAATTCTCTTCCCCACCCCAAGGACTGAAATCTGCTCCAAAATGTGTTTCCTTAGACGTTATTGCCTTGAGGTCAGATGCTCTGAGCAGAGCCAGCCGCCCTGGGCCCAAATCAAAGCTCCTCCGTTGAACCCGTCTGAGCCTCCCCGTTTTCTCGTCTGTAAAATCGGGGCAGTAATAGCAGCGCTTACCCTGTAGCAAATACGGGGCTTGACCGAGACGATCGTGTACATGGCTTAGACCAGTGCCCGCCCTGGCTTGCTCAGCTGGCTGCTGCCGATGCCACGGTCATGGGCATTGTCCCTGCTGTCCTCCCTGTCCACAGCGAGGGGTGTGCACCAGCGCAAGCCCAGCCCTGTTCACTGTGGCCCGCTGCTCTGTGCTGCGGGCTGGTGACAGCCCAGCTCACAAGGCCTCGCTTTATTTCTTGTCGTTAGTGGTGGGTTAAAACACACACATCTGTTCTCTGTCGTTATCCCAGCTCACGAGGCCTCGCTTTATTTCTTGTCGTTAGTGGGTTAAAACACACACATCTGTTCTCTGTCGTTAAAGGGGACGTCAACGTGGCTTTCAACGTGGGGAAGTGGGGAGAGATCGGAGCCATTAGGTGGGTGTAGACCGTCACGACACCGGGGCAGTCGGGGTGCTGTGGACTTTCGCGTTTAATCTGAGGATTTACACGCTCCTTACACCAGCCATCCGTGTGCATTTAATGGTGATGAGAATGTTGATTTCCACGCCGTTCGGTGAGCCAGCTGCCTCTTCTGCATCAACGTCAGAGGGTTTTCTCCATAAACAAGCCAGGACTTGCTCCTTTCAGCCTCTGAACCCAGCCTCGCCGGTGGAGCTGGGGGCCGAGAAGCAGCTGTGCCTGTGGCTCCCTGGCCCTGCTCTCTGGTCCAAGTGGTTCTCCTCCTTTTTATCCCTGGCGGGTCTGTTTGTCAGCGAGGGGAGGGATGGGCCGTGGGCTTGGGGAGAGGCAGTTTTCTCTGCTGCCTGTAAACTGTTAATATTTTGTCATATTTTACACTGTATTAAGCCAAGCCTCCTTTCCCCAAAAAGGGAGACTGCCTTTGGGTTCAGGGGACAGATGCGTGACCCTCGCCTGTCTCCTTGGGCACCCAGATCTCCCTGGGCCTTGTGCCGGGGACTCCTGAGCCACGGGAGAGCCCAGCAGGGGCCCTTATGCTCGGCCAGCGCGTCCCTCCCTGTTTACAGCAGAAACATGACAGGCGGCCCAGCCGGCGGGGAAGGAGAAGGGCGTGCCCCCCAGGGGACACATCGTGCCCCATCCAGACCTGGGGCCGCTTCGCCTTCCTGCCAGCTGTAACTTTACTTACCTGCCCTGCCTGGGGGCATTTCTGAGTTTAAGCCTGCACCTGTCGCCACCGCTTGACCTCTGGGACAGGTCACTCCATGAACCAACCCCATCACGAGTCAGCCTTGAGCTTGCTGGTTAGGGACCAAAGGGAACGCTCAGGCAGCCTGCCCGGGAGAGCCGGCCCCGGGGGCTCCCCACCGTAGCAGACCCCAGCCTGCCAGCCCGAGAATTTCCTGCCACTGCAGAGAGAGGAGGTATCACCCCAGCTGTGGGCTGGCCCCCAGAATGCTGACAAGCCCTAAAGAGAATGTGACACTAGGCCCTGGCATCGAGGGAGAGGACGAGGCTCGCCAGCAGTGTGGCCGGCAGCGTAGCCCAGAGCCGCCTGCCACGTGGACACAGACACCAGGTGTTTGCAGGGACAGCCGTGGACTGTGTGGACGGTGGAGGCAGCGTGGTGCAGCGGAGCGGGCACCGTTGTCACATTGGGGTGTCTGAGGTGGTGTGCCAAACCCGCCACCCCTCAAGTGGGAGCTCAGGCCCGATGGCCGCCAGGTCGGAGTGCCGGTCAGCACGTCAGGGATTCCCCCATGGTTGGCTTTGGTGAGACACCCAAAGAAGGTCGTGTTTTAAGGTCGTGATTAAAATCAGTGTGCACGCTGTTGAGCAGAGTGTGAAGGAAAAAAATCATTGGAAAGGCGAAACCTCTCACAACTCAGAGATACTCTCAGGTGTTGTGGGCTGTTGAAAATGAAGGGAGCCGTGGTTAATCAATTCAAAGTGGACCGCTCTGGCTCTCCGTGGTGGTAGCGGCCGTCCGCCTGGCCCCTCTGCCTGCGGCCACTGCCCCTAGCACCCGTGTCCATCCACGGCTGAGAACAGGGGCTTCACTGAGGAAATTAGTCCCAGGCTTGAGAAAGTGAGGTTTTCCCCCTCTCCCTGCAGCCGTGAGAGGTGCGCAGGGGGCTGGCCGGCGGCCACTGTGGCAGCAGCAGGAAGGTTTCCGGCCCCGCCCCCGTCCCCATGGGGCTGGGCAGCAGCCGGTTTGGCCCTGCTGGCAGTGTTGACCCTGGGCTGTGTCCCAGTGGAGCCCGGATTGTCTTTCCCTCCTTGCAAACAAAAGGTTCTCTGCTCAGGAGTCGGGAAAAGTGTGATTTCGCAGCCGCCGCCTGTGATGAAGCATCTTCCCTCGGAGTGCGGAGATGGGCACATAAATATTCTCCGTCTCTGCTGCTCTTTATTTCCCTAGTAAGCAGTCGCCCCATCTCTCCACGTGATGGATTCCCCATCGCCGCCGGGCGGGAGCTCCCCAGCCCCGCCGTCCCCAGCCCTGCCGTCCCCCGTCCCCGGCAGCAGCTTCTACAAGAATTCGCGCCCGTCAGGTGCCTTTCCCGGAGCCCTCTCGCCCTCCTCCCCGCCCACTGCCCCGCCCGGCCTCCCTCACAGTCCACGCTGCCCCTCGCCTCAAGGAATGATGGGCCAGGAGACAGTGTGGCCTTGAAGGCTGCAGATTTCATATGCCCCGTGCCTAACAGCCCACAAGCCTTTTAAAAACAGGAGCCAACCATCCCCATGATGAAAAGGCATCCGGAGTGCCTTCCAGCCCTGTGCTCGGCCATTTCCTCACCCGCTGCCCACTGCCCACTGCCCACTGCAAGCCACCACAGACCCCACCCTGCCACACGCAGACCCAGCAAGGGATGTGCCACTAGCCTACCGTGCTCGCTGGCGGAGCCCACGGCCTCCATTTTCACTCGACGTTAAAGCCGAGAGACGGGAGAGTCTAATTAGTAAGGGGACAATCTAATATTAATCACTCCCTTAACA